ACAGTCATATTTAAAAACCAATTACCAGGTAAAAATACTGAAATGTTAGGTAGTCATAGGGGACAGTGATCAAAACAAGATATTATCACTCACAGAGAAAGAAAGCATCTGCTAAAATATTTGGTTAGATTTGAATTAGGCTATTCAGGCTACTCAAGCATTCACACAATCTTTCCCTCCTTCCCTCATAACTGCTGTAAAAGAAAATGGTAGGCAGCCCACTGAGAATCTCTGATTTTTATTTTCCAAAAAGCAGCTTCCTGAGACTTTAGGCAGTCAGGGGCACATTTCAGTTACACATTTCATGGATATAAATTAAGTAAATGTATGTCTTTTCCTCTTTATTAAGAGTTATAGTTCATCTAACATCTTAACAAGCTAAGTCAGAACAGAAAAGAGAAGACATCACATCACAGTTTTCAATATACAAAATACTTAGCATTAAGCACAGTCAATACAGTAATAACAAGTGTGTGTGTGTGTGTGTGTGTGTGTGTGTGTGTGTGTGTGTGTGTGTGCGTGTGCACGTGCGAGAATGAGAGAGAGAGAGAGAGAGAGAGAGAGAGAGAGAGAGAGAGAGAGAGAGAGAAAGAGAGAGAGACCATGTGGGGTGACCTGGGGCCTCTACAAGAGAAACAAGTGCTTTAAACCACTGAGCCATCTTTCTAGTCCCAACATATCTACATTCAAAAATATATTATTTACAACACAGTGTATTGCCTGTAGCAATGATTCCAAAAGTTAGACCATCTCAACATTTTCAATATCTGTACATTTTATCCAAGGTTAAAGTATCTTTATATACAGGTCATTCCTAAAACTAATCTCTTAATTATATACTTTGAGTTTGTCTAACAAAAACAGTTCACATATTTTTGAGCACATAAAAATGACATTTTCTAATGATGTTTAAGTTATAGCTCCTAAATTATATAATTGTTAAATTTCTAATCTGGACAAATGGCTGGTGTGCCTGTTTGACACATCAAGTAGACTTTGCCTCCAGGTTCTCCTAGTACTCCTCAGCCCCTACCTGTTACAGGGTATGACTTGTATACCCCACTCTCTACCCTGAAGTCCCTGGCCCAGAGTCTGGGCTGCCCTTCCCCTAGAAGCTCTTCCCTATATAATCCAGACTAATCCAGACATTTTGGTTTCCTGCCCCTTTTGGACCTTTGCTTCCTGGCTGCTTCACCTGGTTCTGCTCTCTCCATCTCTCTCTTCTCCTCCTCTGTAGCAAGTTTTCTTGACAGAATATCTTTGGATTGTCAGCCCCCAAATACCAACATGGAGACTTCTTATTAATGAAAGCTTGCCCATTACCTTAGGCTTGTCCCACTATATATAATAACTTAAATCAATCTGGTTTTATTAATCTATATTCTGCCATATGGCTCAGTTACCTGTACCCTGTACCATATGTCCAACCTCTTCAGTGTCTCCCTGGTGTCTCCTCTTCTTCCTCTCTCTCCCAGGAAATCCCACCTATCCTCTCCTGCCTAACTATTGACCATTCAGCTCTTTACAAAGCCAATTGGAAGGCACCTGGTAAAGACACATCTTCACAGTGTACAAAAAAAGATTATTCCATAACACTCCTCTGCTCTCCACATGGCTCAGAGCTATGACTGCTCTGGACTTTCCCAGATGTTGCTGCCTCTACTTATGCTCCCCCTTGTAGCCACAACAAACTTTCTTCTCCACCATACCTAGAAGCAGTCATGTCTTTCCTTCTTATTTCTTTTTTTCATTCAATAATTAGATTTTGTAAGCCTGTGTTTTCGTAATTAACATTTGAAAGCACCAAACACAAATTAGCTTGAGGAGTAAGCTTACAATATAATTAATTTTTAGATAAGTCTACCAGAAGTAAAATCCAGAAACCAATTTATTTGATTGTTTAAAAAGTTTGAATCATTAGATTTTTACCTTAAAAAAAATAGACACAGAAAGATTGTTCCTATGTAGTCCAAAATGACCCAAACACATTTATATACACTAATACTCAGACATTTATAAAAGACATGCCAATCATAATTATCAGTGTGGCACAATGAGTTTAAAACAGAAAGGCAAAACTAAACTGGCCAGAGTTTTCTCTCCAAGAGCTCTGGGAGCTCCAGGAGCAGAGACTGATTTTCTTTCCATTGCTATCTTCGAATCTGCCCTAAATTTATAAAAGGCTAGCCAATTGTAGTTCTCTCTAGGGGTTAGCAAACTAGTAAAGACTGAATATTTTCATGGTTATATATTCATGGCATATCGTTTCACCACCTTTGTCATCTTTCAGGAGAGCTCAAAACCTTTCTTGTCACCTGGCAGATGCCCCAAATAGCTCAATAGAACTCTAAATTTGTTCAAAGGAGCTTCAAAATTGACAATGCCTGTCCTACAAGTAGCATTACTGTTAAATTATGGGTCTGTCCCTTAAATCACTCTAGAAAGTGTTCTCACCTGGATCTGACAGGCCCCTTCTACACAGGTCATAACAGGGAAAAAGCAAACTCAAAACAAAGAAGATACTGTTGGTTATTTGCCGCTCTTACCCTGCGAGGAAACATCACGAAACACGACAGAATCCACTAACAAGAGTTTTATTAAGATAAGGGAGAGAGACAGATGTGCACAGGCCTGTGGAAAAGACACGTGAGTAAAGATGAGCCGGAAATCATGGCCCAGCCTTTCTGCGCCTGGACACACAGACCCATGTGGCTATTCCAGGAATGCGTGTAGATTACATGGTTGTGCTGCGAGCTTTACACAACCACGCAAAGCCACGGGGTCCAGGTTACATGGTTTTGATCCGGAAATGGCTATGCGGAAGTGACTAGGTATGCCAGGCATGCGCAACCATGCCCAACCTTGGGGGCATGTTGTGAATCCATATCAGATACAACCATGTCTCCCTGAAGCCATGGACTGCAGAAAGGGCAGAGCGGCATCTCCCTATCTCTGAAAGGCCTGATGTTAGCGGTCAGGCTTCCAATGTCTTCAAAAACTCTCCTCCACCATCTTGTTCACTGTATTTCTCTCTATTTTACAAACACCCCAACATTGCTCAACAGAAGAACTCCAAAAGACAAAGTCAGTCAACAAATGGCAACACCCAAATGGCTCAAAAGAATTCCCCAAATTGCTCAAGAGTCCAAAGGCAAACAGGAAGGAAGGTGTGCTTGATCACCTGTGGGCAGAAGGCCCATGGGCAGGAAATACATTAGGATGTACGTTTGCCCATGATTGGATGTAGGGGAGAGGGTAGGACAGGATGTGGGCAGGGAATATGTCAGGATATATGCTTGTCCCCAGTTAGACATGATGGGAAATGCGGTGAATTGTGGGTTTTGCCTTTTTAAACCCCTGCAAACTGTGACTCAGGGTCATTTTTTGAAAACCCAGAGACGGACCTGGCCAGAATTGAATTAAAGCTTGCTTCAAATTTAGCTTTAAACTGTGGTTGTGGTCTTATTCTTGACTGGTGGGATTACCACTGGGAACTTCCATCTTTTCTCTTCACCTGGGGTCAGCTCTGTGCCCTGTGAGGCACAGCCACTCATCCTCCAGAAGCCAAATAAAAGAGCCAACCTAAAAATAGAAACACAGAAACAGGAGTTTTACTCAATGTGGTCACTCTGGGAAAAGGAACAAAGAGATTTGGGGGTTCTCCCCTCTCCAACAGAGCCCAGCTTCCAAGTCTGTCTTTAGGCTCCTGAAGTGAAATTAACATTTAAATAGAAGACCAAGAATTCCCACTTTTTTTGAGACTGTGTAACTCTGGCAATCCTGGAACTCCCTATATAGAACAGGCCTGGAATTCACAGAGATCTGCATTCCACTGCCTCCTCATTGCTGGAATTCCAGGTATGAGCCACCGTGCCTGGCAGATTTGCACATATAAAGGTGTAATCACACCCAGCATCCATGTCTGGACTTTAGTCTCTCCCATAAAGTGATCTGACAAGTTGTTAAAATTGTGTAGAATCTCTTTCCAAGAGAAAAGATTCCTGGTCCAGCTGGGTCCCTTTCCTTCTCTGGGCATGAGATTCCTAGGAAAATTCCCATTTCTTTGGGGTCCATTGTTTCAGTAGTCTGAGGTTTATACTGAGAGACACTGGTGTCTCTTTAGAATATCTTCATTGGTGCCAAGCCTGTTCTAGCTTAGGCTGGCCATAAATTTCCAATCTGCTTGCATCTACCTCCCAAGTGCTAGAACTATAACCAAGTACTAGGCATACAATTCTATAATTCCAGAAAGCCTTTTCTAACATGAATCATACAACCAGAAGCAAAGAGGTAAAGCTGAGTTTTGACATAATTTTTTTCCTGACTACAAAACCCAAATCTCAGAAAGAAGTCTTCAGGCCATAAAGAAAGCTCTGGTGAACATTTCCTGCACACACTGTCAACACCAGCACTGGGTTACCCAAAGAAGATTTACCTCCAAGGCTCACCCCAGGGGGAAGGCTTTGCTGTTCCCCCATGGATCTGAAGCTTTGGGGATTTTGACATGGATAGCTCACATTAACACACACACACACACACACACACACACACACACACACACACACACACACACGTTCAATCAGGATGTCACTCACTTAGGGCTTTCTCTGCTCCTTACAAAACTGACTTTAAGTGTAGTATTTTGCAAGCTATGTTTTCCTTAAAAATATGATGAAAAATGGGGCTGGTAAGATGGTTCAGTAGTTAAGAACACTTACTGCTCTTAGAGAAGACCTGGGATCAGTTCCCAGCACCCACACCAGGTGACTAACAACCATCTGTAATACCAATTCAGGGCCTCCAACACCCTGTTCTGACTTCTACACAGACATGTTTATAAATAGGCACAAATACACACACATTAAATAACAGTAAATAAATTAATCTCTTTTTAAAATGATGGAAAATGCCCTTGTCATTATACTGTCTTTGAAAACATGTCTATTTTTGTGCACTTTCATCTTACCTAGGAGAGGTCCATAAATTATCCAGCGTAGCAAATTTCCTAAGCTCTTGGTTTGTCTCTTCTAAATCTTCAACACTTTGATGGCATTCTTTGATGATATACCTTTGTGTAAGTACCTCTCTGATCCTTTGACCTGAAGTCCTGTGTGAGCAATCATCAGTTACAACGATGAGCATGATTTTAAAGTTTCTGCTACTGACACCAAATTGTCTTCCCTAAAGGTGGTTGCAGTTTATATGCTGATTCATGGTGAGAATAACTGTTGGAAGACATGAACTGTTTTATCACAGCACTAGAGTAACAGCAGATGCTGTGAGAAAAATAAAGCCCCTAGGCCCTTTCACAAACTCTAGCCTTATTTTAACTTTGGTTTAATTTACACTTCAATGCAATTAAAAATTCTAGTATGTCTGCTTGGTTCTCTGGAGGCCAATGAATAAAATGAGAATGCCAAGTCCCTCCGAAGCCACACTATACAAACTTTGTGAATTCTATCAAATTCTCAAAGGCAGTGCCTTTTCAGATTAATCTTTTCATCTTTAATACCTGGCTCCCACCTGATGTGTACTATGGCCTGACTTCACTATCCCACAGCTCTCCAGTCTGGCAAGGGTGATTTAGGGTGCTGACTGAGAATTGATGACTGAGAATGTGCTAATGGACAATAATGAGCTTTCTTGCTCCTGAATACTTCACAAGTATGTCTTATCTCTCATGTGCAAAAACAAAAAAAACAAACAAACAAAAACAAATCTCTGCTTAGGGGTAAAAATGCAAATTCCACACTCCATCACAAAGCAGCTAGATGTAAAGTGCTTTCAAATGAGCATCTCAGATGGTACCTCAAAATGTTTATGTTACTAGAGTTGGTCCTTGCGGAGAACCCGGGTTCAGTTCCCAGTACTTACATGCTGACTCCCAACCATCTGTAACTCAGGCTTCCAGGAATCCACTGCCCTCTTCTGTTCTCCACTGGCACCAGGCATGTACACTGTGCACACAAATACATGCAAGCAACACATTCAATACTCATGAAAGAAAGAAAAAGAAAGAAAGAAAGAAACAAAGAAACAAAGAAACAAAGAAAGAAACAGAGAAACAAAGAAAGAATTTTAAACAAAGAAAGAAAAAGGAAATTAAAAACAAAAAACATCAAGGGAAGAAATAAAAACAGGGGAAAAACAAAATTTCAAGAAGCCGAGTGTTTCTGAAGGTGGTAGTGTGCTGAGCTGCTTCACAAGTTACCTATGCTCATAGCACCTGTAAGATATATCCTACTTAAATCCTACAAAGAAAAGGGTTTCCAGTTCTGTCCATGCCAAGCAACTCCCACTTCCCTGGGCCTGCTGATGAAACTCCCTAAAGTGCTGTTTTCCTAGAGTGAAAAGGCAGCACTGGCTTCTACAGAAGCAGCAATCGTGAGCCCAAAGTTGTTGTGTGACTGAGCCCTCAAATATCCTACAAGATCACGAGTGCCTCTCTTGTCTGATGATTCTCCCACTTTCTGGCTTGTGACGGCCCCCTACTTCTGTCTCCTGCACAGTCTATCTATAAAATGTGTTTATGTATGTCCACCAATCTTTCTACTCCCTTTCCTTTTCATTTTATCCACCTTTCCTTCTCTTCTCTTCTGTTTATCTATGTGGAGCAGATACACATTTTTCTCCTCTTCTAACCAGTGAAGGTCTCTTCAGAAACATCTAGAGAACATCAATGACTCGTTGGGCTTTGGAGAAATCTCAAATAGGGGACATAACCACGGAATGTGTAAATCTTTTTTTCTTATTATTAAGAGATTTTTCTATTCATTTTACATACCAACCACAGATTCCTCTCTCCTCCCTCCTCCTACCCCTCAGCCTTCCGTGCCAACCCAACCCCCATTCCCACCTCCTCCAAGGACTCCCATGAGGAGTCAGCAGAGCCTGGTACATTCAGGTGAGGCAGGTCCAAGCCCCTCCTTCCTGCACCAACACTGTGCAAAGTGTCTTACCATAAGCACCGGGCTCCAAAAAGCTGGCTCATGCACAAGGGACAGGTTCTAATCTCACTGCCTGGGACCTCCTATACAGTTCAAGCTAAACAACTGTCTCACTTATCCAGAGGGCCTAGTCCAGTACTATGGGGGCTCCTCAGCTATTGGTCCACAGTTCATGTGTTTCCACTAGTTTGGCTGGCTGTCTCTGTACATTTTCCTATCATGGTCTCAATGTCCCTTGCTCATAGAATCCCTCCTCATTCTCATCGATTGTAATCATGGAGCTTGGCCTGGCACCGGGCTGTGGATCTCTCTGCATCTGCTTCAACAGTCACTGGATGAGGGCTCTATGATGACAGTTAGGGTATTTCATCACCAGCGTAGGCCAGTTCAGGCACCCTCTCGACTACTGCCAGTAGTCTAAGGTGGGGTCATCCTTGTGGATTCCTGGGAACTTCCCTAGCACTCTGCTTCTTTTACATCAGCACTAGTGATTTTTTGAGCTATTGTTCTGGATGGCTGTGTAATATACTGTGAAATGTTTAGCAGTATGCTTAACCTCTGCCTACTGGATAAAATTCATACCTTATCTGGTTGTAATAATAAAATGTCTTCAGAACCAAAATGTTCAAGGTAACAGAATCATCTCAGGTTGGAATTATTGGTACATGGAACATGAATGTTCCCAAACAGACATAAGCTTAAATAAAGCTTCATTTAGTTTACTCTTCATGAGCTACCTAAGTACCAATTATACTGACTATAATATAACATCAGTATGATTCATCATACTGAGATACCCATGTACCATGTCTATAAATAAAAAGATATTTATAATCACATTAATAATTGGGGACTTTGATGAGAACTAATTAATTTGAGAGTGTTTGATCACCATTAAATGATATGGCAGAACAAATTATGAATAGTATATAGATGTTGATGGCACCCCTTTTTGGGGTCTTTGAATTCATGGGACCTATGTAGTCCCAGAGGAAATAAAAAAAGATAGAATGCTCATTGGATTGAACCAATATGGACTATATATGTTGGTTGGAGTGATCTGGATGCTGGTACTAGGAAAAGATTTTCAAGAGAATGAGATTCCTCTTGATGTATAGGATTCCCTAAGATTGCTCTTTAAACATGGAGAAATTATGATAGACATGGAGACAGAGGGGAGGCTACTGCAGCAGTTCAGAAAAGGTACAATGATACCCTAAGGCTAGTTCCTTCTGCACATGATGCTTCCCAAAATGAGAAGCTAATAAATAAGAACATGCATATAAATATAAGCTCTAGAATTACCAGCTTTGCAATCATTTGGAGCAAGGCATTAATCTTTCTAGGTGTTAATTTGGAGTTCTGTAAGATCAAAGAGCCAGAATTAATATCATCTAATGGCCTTTCCAATTCTATTCCTTGACCTCCCCACACACATAAAGCCAGTTTCAAAATCAAACTAGAGCATGTGATTGAAGCACTAGTCAGTGATCTTCCTATCTGTTGTTTTATAAGAGAAGGAGAAGGAAAGTGAACGGAAACCAATTTCAGCACACACTGGCCAAGGCTCTTTAAGTATTTGCATTGATAAGGGAATGGTAACAAAGCATCTGCTTTGGACCCACATGATTTTGAAAACTGTGGTGCTTTCAATGAATAATGTCTCCTTGGGCTCATGTATTTGATAGTTGGTCCCCAGTTGGTCGTGTTGTATGTGAGGGTCTCAGAACCTTTAGAAGGTGGAGCCGTGCTAGAGGAAGTATATCACTGGGGGGAGGGGTGTTGAGGGTTTATAGCCTTACTCCACTTTCTGTCCTCTCTCTGCTTCCTGTGTGCAAATGAAATGTGATCTCTGTGCTTCCTGTTACCATTCTATGCTTTCCTAGCCATGATGGACTCTATCCCTTTGGAACTGTAAACAAACTCTTCCTTTTTTAAGTTGCTTTTAGTCATGGTATTTTATAACAGCTACAGAAGAGTAACTAATACAGAAGTTCATGAACTGACAATAGAAGGTTCTGATCCTATCTAATAGCTATGGTTCAAAATACACAAGGCAAGCACACTCCAGTAACAAATGACAAGTCATTTCCACCAAAACTCAATAAGCCATCCTCAAAGAGGACATAGATAACAACAAGTAATGAGCAACCACTGATTTTTGGGAAATCTTGCTGGTATCAACTGAACAGCTACTGGCTCTCACTTGCAAAGCAAATAAAGCACATATGAACATCCACAACTCTACATAACTGACACATTCAATTCAATAATCTTCATTGCCACTTAATACTATTAATTTGCATCGTTTTGTGTAGTGGGAATATTGTACAGGAGGAATAAGAGATAATGACCTAGACAAGATGAAAGTATAACCAACAAGAACAACATCAAACAAGAGACACATACTAAAATCCAGAGAAGTCTGGAACATAGGTAAATGGCATGTTACAGAGATCATTCCAAAAGGTGTCCTATCCTGAAAAACCTGAATCTAATACTTAATATGTTCTAGCTAAGATACATGAAGATTGTAACTATATCTGTTAGTCTTCAATCTCATCAAAGAACTGAGAAGGAATATAATAATACCTGAGAAACAGGAGAAGGACAGAAGCAACTTTTGGGAGTCTTGGAAAAGTAGACAGTGACAGCTGGCAGTCTGGACAGTCACCTAAAGTTTCTCAGTATCATTGGTGCATTCAAATTGGCTACAGGCCTAGAGTATCTGTCAGACCATTTTCAGAAGCAGGTATTTTGAAAGACTATTTTACCCTGTCTTGGAGGAGTTCAATAGTTGCTTTTCCTTGTGTTCTACTTGTTCAGAAGGGACAGTATTCATACTGTCAGCAGTCAGAGCAAGGGCAGTTCTTCACCCAGTAGGCCATTTTGTGCCAAGAAGAAGACAAACTTCCAAACGGAAATGTCTCAGGAGCCCAACATTCTCTCGCAATCAGATCGGTGCTGCCAGGAGCAATTGTGTCTCATGTCAATGGAATTCTAAGTTATCAAAACATTTAGATGCCATATTCTCTAGGTCTATGAAGTGTTTGAAGATTACCATGTTTCTGTAAGTCTGGAGAACCTAACTAACATAACTATAGAAATGACAAGCATTAGTGACTAAAGCTCAGTAAGTCTTTTCTACTAAAATAACTTAAGGACTAAGGCTTCATATTAATAAGATAAACAGTCTGTAAGCAAATATACCATATAAGGACAATGACCTCAAAATTGAAACAATACACAAAATAGCTTAAACAGAGGTAGGAGTGTATATATAGTGCAATATGCAATATGACAATAGTTCTAAGTATGTATCCATATATAAAGCATCCTAAGCAGAGATAGAACATACATACAGTATGAAAAATATAATTTTACATTTGTATTAATATACAAAATATTTCAAACAGGAGTGGGAATATGTGGGAACTACAACAAATATAGTTTTGTATTTGTATCAAAATATAAGAATACATATCAGTGCAAATTATCTAAGGCTAATATTTTACTGAATTAGTTTACCAGTAAATACAAAAATTTACCTTAATATCCTATACCCATCCCTTTTTCTTTTCTAAAAAGGAATACTGAGTCCAAATTTTATTGTTCCACACATGGTCATATCTGTGTTAATAAAATAAAAATGAATGAAATAAATGGATAAATAAAATAAATGAATGAATAAAGAACAGATCAACATTCTTGTAGCTGGTGCTCAAAGAGTTAATAGTGTATAACTTATGGTCTCTGTGGCAACAAACAACAGGAAGAAAAAAAACTCAGTGTGCCTTAAACATCTAAAAAGGATTTATGTTTATGTAAACGCCAGAGGTAGTATATGCTTTAGGTTGACTCAATGTCATCCACTTTCTGACAATCCCTTCACTCTGTTTGCTAAAAGTAAGCATTATTCTAAGGCTTATGTTCTGTATCCTGAGAAATAACCATTGGACTTAGCCTTCACGAAGATGGAGAGATGAGGGAGAGACACTGAAATTGAAAAC